CATTCCTCAATCCTGACAAATACGAGTAAATATTATCCAGTATCCAGATGAATTTTTCAATTGTTCAACAATAGTAAAGAATTAGGATTATTGCTGTGAAAAATCCAGTTCTCTTGTAGCTAGTGCTTTTTAATAATTGGTCATTGCTCAATCCTGACAAATATGAGTAAATATTATCCCGTATCCAGATGAATTTTTCAATTGTTCAACAATAGTAAAGAATTAGGATTATTGCTGTGAAAAATCCAGTTCACTTGTAGCTAGTGCTTTTTAGTAATTGGTCATTGCTCAATCCTGACAAATACGAATAAACATTATCCCGTATACAGATGAATTTTTCAATTGTTACTATTAAAATTTCAATAGTAGCGATTGGAGTTTTTTCCCAGTGTACTAATAACTAAAGTATTGTCAAATTTCATGAAATTGTCCCAAAATCGTAACAGGAGGTTTTCACAACTAGTGAATTACAAAATCAAAAGCAATTCTTCAAAAATGGGTAAGGTTGTTGGGAGCAGTAGCCACATAGTTTGATTTTCATTAATTTGTCGACTTATATCGGATGCACAAACTGATGACCCATATGTATTCTTTCATTGACCCCACTGCAGTTGTCCGAGAAAACTCATTTCTATTGATAAAATCAAACTACATTAGTATTGTCAATCAAAGATAACTAACTACCTACCATTCAGTCTATGGCAAGTGGTATTCCTCATTAACTGATACAATCACTTTCACCTCAGATTTTCATTCTTGTAGGTATAAAAACAAACAAAATCACTAGATATATAAAAAACTGCATTTCAAAGAATGTGTTATTAAAATGTAATAGCTCGTTGCCAGCGTCCATACATTAATATATTATTGCCCCACCGAAACCAGCATTTGTTTACAAACTCGCATAATATAAGGCGCGTTTCAGATGTTTGGTGTTATTGATCAAGGTATTTTTATCAGATAAGTTCGACAAATATAACTCATACCTACTATATTCTATCTAAAGTAGAATATTGTTGGAAAGTTTCCAACAGATGAGCAGTGTGTTCAGTTATCTCATATTGAAAGAACAACTCACTTGAAAAACAGTTACAAAAGTTATTTTAATTTGGAATTATGGACACCGCGAAATATTTTGAGATGCATAATGGGTCGGAACCAATTACATCGGTTCTGATTAAATTGGTAGAAAGGGAAGAAGTAGAAGCAAGACATTATTTTCCCATAGAAGATTTAGAGGGTGTTCTCAAAGGTATAGGGCGGATGTTTTACATTGTGAGTCCTTCAGAAACAACATTCAGCGATCCTAAGGACGTCCCATCTTTCTTCGTAAATGTAAGTACCAAATGATAGATGATATTTTTACGAAAACATTTGGTTTAATTAATGATTGTCGGAATGTCAACATTTCAATCCAGATTTATTTTCATTTGTGTGAATATTAATATAAAAATTCAATTATTTATTATCGATTTGATATAGTTGAAAAAACTCCATAAATTCTCAGTTTAAAATGAGGAATTGCCTATAGAGGTATTTTTCATTATCAACTGTATTATTAAAACATTAGGTATAACATGACCGACTTTTTAAAGAAATATACCTACCAACGTATATACATGTATTAAATTTATCTTCATTAGTTATTCTATTTTAGGATGACAGCGATGTGTACTTATATTTTGAATTATTTATACACGTACTTGACATACGTTGGTGAATTTATTATTTTTATGCTTGTTGATAACCTCAATAATATTTGACTGTAATGGAAATCTTCCTCGATAAAAATAATTTAGCTATCAATAACTTTCTTTCTTGAGATTTATAGGTTTTCCCTAAAATCAAAAAAGGTTTAATGAGAAGAAAAAAAGTCAATCTGTTATGTCTATGTTTCTTTAAAT